TTTATTTACGGGGAACCTTCGGTGCAGCGTGGCAAATTGACGGTCCTTCGACAAACGACGTGCAATTGACAAAAGTCACGTTCGTTAGGCCTTCAATTTCGTAGAGCCTTCGCCTGCAGTTTCTAAATTTCTAATTCCTTCGAGCCGTCTCCTTTCCGGCAATAAAGTCATTTCTGCAATTTCGGATAACGCACACTTCATCGGCAACATTTCCTTCACAGGGTCGCCAGCACGCATCCCTTCGGTCGCCCTTTCCGGGATTTCTTGCTACCTGCGACACTGGATACGACCGGGACTCCTAAGGTCCCTTTCCACCTCGCGATCAACCAATGATCTTCAAGTTTTCTCTCGGCGAGAAACATATAAAAACGAGAACTCTTGACCACCTCCGTCAGTCATTTTTTACTCCTGCGTAACCTCGTTCATATTCTTCAACGTCGCTCGTCACTCTAGTCTACGTCTCGTTCAGTCTATAAATTCACGATCTATTAAGTAAAACAGTTCTTCATTTTTAAGTAAACGGACAACGATATCGTCCTATTCCGTCGCGCAGCGTAGTCGGCCTTACAACCCGATAGATAGTTAATATCGCGGAATAACGATATCAGGTGCTCACACGACGCACCTCTACAAAAAAATTTTACTGTTTTTTTTCGACTTATGTTTGCATGTACAATCTTAACCACCCGTCTGTACCACGATTTTGGATGTAATGGTCGTGACATATAATTCTTATGTTGTTTTTAAAATCGTTCGTTATGTAAAGGGTTGATTTGAAATGCATGGCTCCTTTGATACTTTGTATCCCTGTAACGTGTAGAATACGATGCAATAAAAAAGAAGTTTCACCTTGAAAATCATGTTCAAGGACACTCTTTCGGGGAGTATTTTTAACAGATTTCCATCGATCCAAGGATGTAGAATTCACCTATGTTGGTCACGACAAAAATTTTTTTGAAACTCTGACTCGTATCTTCGTACCTTCCAATGACGCATGCGGGGAATCAGCGTGTCTCGAGAATTATTTGTAGCAGGCAGTAAAGCTGGTAAAGTGCCTCGACTTAAACAATGGATAGTGTTAGGGTGCAGGTGTTGGCTCGTTTTTACAGTCCATCTTTTTTGTCCATTTTTGTTTATAAGCTGAGATACAATTGGAGAGAATTTATTGTACATGACGTATGGCGAGGAATACACAATTATTGGAAACTAATGTATGAATACAATTCGCATTGGAAGAGAATGAACAGAAATTACTTACCAAGTGTAAAAAGTGGAATTACGATTATGTCTATATGTCTTCAATCAGATTATACGATTGTTTATTGCTGTTGTTACGTGTAACCGAGAAGAAGTAAAGATGGAATTCACTCACTTATTCGTTTTACCTTCATTTTCCTATAACCGAATGGATCATGAATTGAATTTAGATAAGTAAAATTATGAAATAAAAAATAATGTTCTTACAATTTAAAAATAGAATAAAACAGAATAGAATTAAATTAAATTAAATGATAACTTTACGGATAAAATTATGAACTTAAAAAATTTGTTCTCACAGTTTAAAAATACAATAAAATAGAATTGAAATAAATTAAATTGAAGCGTGAAATAAGTTTAACGTGCGGATGGCGTCTTTTGCCTGAAATTGAACACTTTAACTTTCAATTATCTCGACAAATTATGCTTGAACACCTTGCGAGCGAAAGACACGCACCTCGCGATTGTTGCGACACTGCATCGCAATTGCCAGCAAATTGAGTAGAAAGTTTAGTGCCTACAGAGTCTTAATTTGTCAATATGGTGGTCAGTAGGCGTGAGCGAATCTCTATTTCTTTCTTTTTCTGGCAAGGGCGGGGATCCCTAGGGTAGACGATCACTTTTTGATGAGATTTGGTACAGCCCGCTTTATCACGACCTACGCGGTGCCTCGCTACGTAATTCGATGCGTCTTTTTAGCCTTTTATTAGCAACTTTAACATTAGTTATTTCAAAAACTATAAGGCGTCTGCCCCTAAAACCGGGTATCATTGGATTCTGCTTTACAAGCTCTATCACTGTACCAAATCTCATAAAAAATGAGCGTCAACGATAACCTTCTCTTGTGAGAACTCGCGGTGTCCTCTGCGCCGAATATTTAGAAAAAGAGTGACGAACTTCTCCGCAAAAAGCTGCACCGTGTCGCGTCGTAACGAGAGAAAAAGCTAGGAACGCGACCCTTTGCAACGTATCGTTTCTATCATCTCTGCGACATATAAATAGATAGTTTATTTCAGGTAGTGCAATTATATTATGACCGCGATTTATATACTTTAATTAATCATTATTTCTTCATTTCCGTCAGCAGATAACGAAATCAGTAAGTAATTAGATAAGAGGTACATAAATGATGACTAGACTGCTGATTTTTATGCAAAATAAAAATTATTTGCTTCAATTGGGAAGAGTAGAAACTAAAGCTTAACTTGAGAGCTGAAACACTAGTTTGGCGGAATGGAGGAGGTATGGAAGGGGCCATACTTCAGTGGCTCAGCGAAAAATGCGAGTAAGGGATGGAGCCACCATAACGAACCCCTGATTTAGGCTATCGTCACTGCCTTCGTTTTCGAACTTATTGGCGTATAATCTACAGTAAGGAGCATAACTGAACATACATATGACATTTTAATAAAATAATTTTTTATTCAATATTTGCATGTAGAATGCAAAACAAACGAAATATATTTACTATTAACTACAATCTTCTGCCTTTTCAAAACAAATTTAACATCTGTGATATCATTATTTCACTTGGTAAAATTGTTTTCGTAATCGATTTAGCACCGCATTAAGATTCTCGAGATTAGGAACCGTAAACATAAATGTTGGGATTATGGAATGAAAATGAATATGATTCTAATACTTTGCTTAAAAGGACTTTATTTTATTCTCTTAATGAGAGAAGGTATATGAGCGAAACAGATCGAGCGATCAAACTCTACTAAGGTCCCGGTAAGAAGAAACGCTTCTTTTATACTCTTTTTGGGTTCGTCGTGTCCACCAATCAGAGACGTTTTATTTGTCGCGTCTTACATTGTATACGTGACGGTCAGGGCACGATGTACATCAAAAGGTACCGGCGATGATGTATCGCGGCATCTAATATATACAGATTCCGTCACCGTCGCTGCCCGCTGACGGAGCCGGCGAAATGTAAACCGATATCTTAACTGAAGATATCTTACTAAGTAAACTATAGATTAATTTTTGTTCGAGGCTAA